CTAAACTGCTATGGAATATTATAAAACATAAACCTTTAAATTAATAGTTGTATTTAAATTTGCATGGCACAGGGTATAATTTTCGCTTATTCTTACAAAAATTTCACGCCACCTTGACCACGAGGGCGCAAAATACGATCAGCGCGCCCACATGCGTGCCTGAAACTAGGTTTTGCTGCCTTAAAATTTGTGGGTGGGATTTTGGTCAACCATTTGTCAAATCCCCGGGGTCCTCCAACACCCGGCCCCCGTGCACATATATGAAAGGCAAATTCCCGACCCCCGTGAACTGTTTATCGGGCAAATTCCCAGGGGTGTCCCAGGGGGGGGGGATGGTTACTCCAGGAATTGACTCATGCATTACTTTGGCGAAGTAATTTTAAAATACATGATTTTTTTATCAGATATAACAACACTGGGGTACTTTACACTTTACCGTACCGCAAGTATTTGATGGCGTGTGTTCTGACGGTTTTTCCGTTCTTTTATTGGCGTGTTTTGATCAAAGGTTTTGATGGAATTTTGATGGCGTATGTATTCAGTGATCACTCCGGTACGGTAAAGTGTAAAATTTCCCAACACTGACATGGTAGTGATAGTTTCCTTTGTCTTTTCTTAGTCTTTTAAAACATGTTATATGATCTGATTTATAAAAGCTTAATATATAAAATCGGCTCGAAACGAATAGCATATAAAGACTATCAAGTATACTCGTTTCAGTGTGGTATATCTTGGATTGTTAATCATCTGTCACTTACTACTATTACTATAAACTGGGTCACAAATGTATAAAAGCTGATACCTTTATTTAGTATTATATGTTCGCATTTAATTTCGTTTTGGAATAATAACTAAGAAGTTATATCTTTCACTTATAATTTTTTACCAATCTATTTTGAGTGAAACGTTTCAAGATTGCATGAAAAAACATACCTCGTAACTCATACCTGCATGTTTTTCTTTATTTCAGATGAAAAACTATCGCTTCTTGTAAGTAAAGAGAGATTGATTACATTGTTTTATTTTCAAATTCACAAAATCTTTTAGATTTGAATAATTCAAACGATGAAATGACGAAAACTGACGAAATTTTTTTGAAAAAGATTCGCCATTTTTGGAATCAGGCGGGGGAATTTTTGGGTTGCGGCAGGCGTTGCGGGTCTTTCCAATAAGTTGTAAGTATTATCTCTTATATCTATTTTTTTCAAATAACACGAAAAGCTTTCGATTCTTGTGTCTGATGACCTCCCCCTTCTTCTTCCCTCAAGATGAAGTCATAAATGTGAACTCTATATATATCACAAGCAGTTAGCGATAAAACAGTTGTCACTCGGCATTTTCCCCTCCCATTCATGCCACCTTTTGCGAGGACCAGGAAACGTTGAAATTGTTCGTGTGTACAGCCGCCAAGGAAATGAAGAAATACTTCTATGGTTTTGACAAACAAAAGGCGGTCTTGACGTGAGATAAATGTTTAACAACATTCCGTGCCCACGGGCAACAAAACTCGTCAAGGAGAACTTGTTCGTATGCACATTTATTCGTCTATACAGACTGTACATGTACATTTTCTTCGCGTTTGTTCCCAAGGTTTTTTCTTTGCAATCAAGACCTCTCGCTTCCCGGCATGGTGTCATTTCGGTAATAACTATTTTGAGCCATAATACGACGACAAACAACTGAACAAGAATATATATTACCAGTATATCCAAGTTTGTTCGGAAGTTATTACCAAAAATGACATCCGATTATGCCGCCCACATCAATATCGGCAAGCAAAAGTGGATTGCCTCAGACTATACTAGTACCTGAGTCCACAGTCATGGAAATTAATTCGTAGACTTTTCAAGAAGCTTCCCAAACCCCCCTCCCCGTTTACAATGTTGGTTTATGGTCCAATAATCATGGTTTGAACCAACATTGTGCTAGCGGGAGTTACTATTTCTAACAATTATGGACGTTTGAATATATTAACTAAAAATAAATGGCTTTACAAAATAGTAAGACAAGATACGTTTTAAAAAAGTCTACGGATTTATTTCCATGATTGCAGTTGTAATTCAAAAGCCAGTTTATTTAACCCTATGCAGGTTCATAGCAAACTTCCGACAGGTAACGACTTGTTTATAAATTTGGAAATATTTCTTGAGAAATCTTGTCTGGATCCAGGGACGCCGGAGCGAGGGTATGGCACAGGGAGGCAATGTTGACGTAAGGGGAATCACTACTAATATTTCGTGTCCGAAAAAATTTTCCGGAACCTTAATTTACCAAAACAAGGGCGAAAAATTTTCCGGAACCTTAATTCACCAAAACAAGGGCAAAAAAAAATTAAAAGTTAACCTGAATTTTTTACTAATATTCCAGAAAATTTCACGTATATTTCAATATTACGTCCATTTCGCGCGTAATTCATACTTTTTAATCGTTGTACCTCATATTTTTTGGGTTAGAATTTTTACTCTAAGGGCACTTTCGCCCCCCCCCCTGCCCCCCTTACTAAAGGGCAAGGGGGGCGATGCCCCCCTGCGCCCCCCTTTCCGGCGTCCCTGTCTGGATCAGTAGGAGTTCGCTTTCCATCGAAACTCTGAGGAGAGACCTTACACTCCATGTGTGATGCCAAAGTGATAGGACATTTTAAAGGTTGTGTAAACTAATTTCGAACTTCGAAGGTGTTATCACGACACTAGTATGTTCACTGCTCATTTTTACTGTTTTATGCGGCGCGCTGTGTGTGGTAACGTGGGTTTATTAGAGGCACAGTTCAGTATCCAACCCACTATCTTCCATGAATCTATGATGTGTGTCATCCCACAGGCGCATCCTTTTGTTTTGAGTTCTTGACCCTCACCACACACCCAGTTTGTGCCCTAATCCCGTCATCCTAACCGGTGGGTGGCGTCCGACCCTTACCCTGACCCGAACCTTACAGTCAGGCCAAGCAGTACTTTTACAGTATAGAGCGAGGTATAGAATAAAGCCTTGACTAATGCTTGTGGTGCAACCGTAATTAGATGCGACCTTAAGGGGCTGATTACATGGTGCCGGGCTGGCCCGGTTAACCCGGACTGACTCGTTTGTTTAGGACCTTACTGTGGTTTTAAAACTCGCGTAAAACAAATTTGCGAGAAATAGTTGGTTAGTATAGATGCAAAATCATCCTAAACCTGATTCAAAACTCATTTTGCGGCCCAAGGAAGATTTTCGTGACATTTTTCAGCCGGCTGGCCCGGTCCATGTAATCAGCCCCTAATTTAAAATGAACCATCACATATTCAAAGTCTGTTTATTTATTTTCTGGTATCTCTTTCGCACCAAAGTGTAAAGTTCGCACTTAGTGCAAAAGAGGTGGCGATACCATATATGGCTCATTATTACTGGCTCATTATTGAATCATATGATTGAATATGAAGATTAATATATATGGCTCATTATTGAATCATATGATTGAATAAATCCCCCGATGCCATAATAATAGTATATACCATATACGATGTAAGACCCCGGGGAAAATTATGCACCGTGGCAAACAAAGATGGCTTCAAATAAAGTGGTGTATCATATAAAAACAAGAGATAAAGCGTAGAAATCGTGACTGCAAGTGGAAAGTTTTATTGAAGAATGTTTAAAAAATTAAAACAGAAGATTGAAAGTGAATCTGAAGGAGAACAAAGTCCAGTATCACGAAATGAAAGATCAAAGAGACGTTCGAACGAGGTGCGATCAAGAATATGATTGTTTACAATTTCAAATTTATATTATAACTGTGAAGGATTTATTGTCTTTGATAAATATTGAGCTTTGCTTTATCGAAGATATATTTGTTTACTCTTTATCAAGGGAACTTCCTCCCCTAAAAAGGCTGAAGAATCGCCTGTGGTTTCTCCTGAAAAGCAAAGTGAATTAACACCTGGTCGGTCTAGCAGTGTTGAACAGCCAAATACAACCCCGACATCTCAATATGTCATTGCTCGTGTTCACCAGCTCCTTGAGGTAAACATGGCTTATAAACAATAACAGTTTAGTCCTCCTTATCTCATTAAACTATCAACGATATAAATGCCCCCAGCCGGC